CGGCCCGCGGCCGCGGCCGCTGCCCCGCAAGGTCTCGCAGCTCTGAGGCCCCGCGCCGCGCCCCGCCTGCTGGTTCCCTCGCCGTTTACAGAACGCGAAGTATGGTGACAGGACACTTAGCGTAGGCACTTTAATAACGTACTCGGATCTTTCTTTCAGTGAATGGAATTAAAACTTGCTTATTAATACGATGTTGCACAGTATTGAGAGTTAACTCATCTAAAACGCCAGATGTTACGTGAAGCACGGCTGAATCTCATTACAAAAGTTTCTCCATGGAAAGTGGTAAATAGTGATAAAGACTCCTTTTGTATCTTTTTATGTTCACCTTTTTTTTTTTACCTAGTTTAATCCTAAACCCAATACAATATTGTCAAACAAGGCAACGTGTGATAATGTTGTATGCTTTTTATTGAACACTTGATACTCCAAGAACGCTGATTTGTCCATGCACGTCCTCACACGGCGGTCCTTACTTTAGAAGGCTTCCGACTCTTACTGGGAGCAGGATGACCGCTGCACATCCTCAGAAATAAAGGTGAAAGCAGGCCGCTTAGTCATTGTACTTAAGGGGTTGCCAGGAGTGGGCCTGGAAATTTTGTTCTGGAAACAAGATGCTTCTTTAAGGTTGCTTTTGACATTTGACAGCTGTCTGCCTTCTTAAAACTCTCCTTTGTGAATTGGTTGCTAAATGCTTTAGTACCCCGACACCATGCTATCTACTGTATTTCTTTTCAAGGTGCAATTTGCTTTCTGAGTTCCAATTAGCTAGATTAAGTAAGAGACCCCAGAAGGAATGTTTACTTGAATTTTGTGCTTCCTTACTTGATAGTTTCTTACATAAAATGTGTCATTGAAGAAGAGCAGATGACCAAGTATTAAATAGGTACAAATTACTGTGCCCCCTTAACAAGGATTCAGGAATCAATACAGGACAGTATTAAATCAATAGCATACATGAAGAAAAAGAATCTTAGCGGTAATATTTTAGCATGATTAAATGGCAGAAGGACATCCAGAAGGCAAGGGCATTAACTTTCAGTCCTGCACAAAATAAAGAATGCCTCCCAATTCGCCATTCTTACCAGTGGAGTTTGTCTTCTCGGCTGATCCTGTGGTCCTTTTGTAGGAGGAGAATGACCCTAGATGATTCTAGCTTGAGTATTGCAACATAGCATCTTAGATCTAGGTAGGCACTTGGATGCCCCAGTTGTAGGAGTGTGGGAAAAAAAGCACCTTGTATGTAGTAATGTATTTTGTATCTTTGTTTTATCTTTTACTGACTGTTTATAACACTGAATTGACAATAGATATGAACTCTTAAATATTTTCCCTCTTTTGTTGGGAAGCTCATTTCAGTTTAACCGTGTTTGTTTTTGTTGATAGCTTACCTAGAAGGCAGTGACCACTTTTTTTATATTCTCTTAATGAAACCATTCAGCAGGTATATGCTGTTGAGGCTGGTTATAGAGGTTTTCTATAATAAATGTTCAAGTATTTTTGTACATAACTGGTTAATTTTAATAAGATATACCATTATGTGTAAAAAAAAAAAAAAAGGAAAAATAAAAGCAAACAGTTGTGGATGCAGTATGATTGTTATAATTATGCCAAATACTTTATGTATGGAAAAAGAATATTTGTACATATGTGCTTTTAACAATAATTCTGCCATATTGACTTTACAATTTTGAATGTCAGAAAAATTAATATATGTTAAAATATTTATGTTTAGTGAAAGTATTCATAATTGAGGAAAAGAACATATGAATTTTAGCTTTGTATCTTGCAAGTTTTGCAGTTGGAGATTTATTGAACTGGCTTTTGCTATTGATTATAACACTTTGTGTTTGTAATCATATCCATATATATATATATTATATATATATAATATATATATATATGAAGCTCCAAATTTCTGTTGCTTTAAAGAAGTAAAACCTCCCATTTAAATAAGAGAACATGCATAAAATAACAAAACTTCTTTGATTTCTTTTTCCTGTGTAATTTAATAGATTTCTTGACTAGTGCTTGGGCACAGAATAAATCAGTGTTATTTGCTCTTGAAGCCATTTTTTTACAAAAAAAAAATTTGGCAGTGAACAGTTGAATTTATCATGTGTGTGTACTTCTAAAGCAGCTACATAGCAGAACATTTCAGGAGATTTTGTTAGCTCAGATGTTCATGTTGGTTGCTGCTGAATGGTAAATATTAAATAAAGTTACCAGATTAATCTTAATATCCCTGTCTTCATTTCTGTGTTTTACCTAGAGTAGTAGCTGCATAAATCTCTTGGTCCGGTGGTAATGAAATTTTTAAACTTCTTTGTTGATAAATCCTGTTTTGTTGTTGTTTTACCTGGATTGGTGTACGGTACTCTTCCTCCGGCTCATTTATGCCGCAGAGAAGTGTTAAAAAGGTAGAAGTCTGGGTTACTGTCCCGTGGAAAAGGTAACATTTACTTGGGCGGCTGAACATTAATTGGCCTAACCAGAGCCAATTTCACAAGTCAAACCATCAAAGTTCGTTTGCATTAGAAAACTTGACACAAAGCAGATAACTACCAGGCAGACGAGGGAATGGTTGAATGCTGCCTTTGCCAGCTGTGACAGGTTCATCTGTCTGCCAGCTTTTCTCCCTGGTTTCACAAAATGATGAGAAATACATTAGGCAATGATGGCAAAATACCGACTACAAGATTTCTATTAATATAAGCTTGGCTTTTAATTTTGTGAGCATGTGTCTATGCTATGTTAGTGGACAACATCTGTGTAACTAAATGGTAAGGAAACCTTTGTCTGAAATTCCTGTCCCATTAAATACCAACGCCCATGTAAAGGTCATTGTCAATGTCCTGATTGTTTCTCAGTGTAAAATTGTTTTAGAGCGTTTTTATTACAACTGAGGCCTTCAGTATTCTAATTCTACAAGCATAATAGCTCAGTTTTCTCTCTGGATTGATAGTGATTGTTCTACAAAAAACAAAAAAAGAGCCTGAGTCACACGACTTTGCCTTTATTTGCCCTTTGCACATTAAGAAGTGGCTTGTACAAAACGGAATTCTGTGAGTGATTAAAGTGTGCCTTGTTCTCAAAGAAAACCATGTCAAAGTTTTGAAAAACATAGAATACCAGCCTGTACCATAACAGGGTTACATATTCCTTTTGTCTTTTTCTGTATTCATATATTACGTAGTTTTTCTACACTGTTGACTCTTGGTTTCCCAAATATCACTAACCGTAATCTATACAGAGCTGAGTGTATTGCTCGCTGCTATACTGAGCCCCATCTTGATAGAGATTTGTTAATGTCTCGGAAGGACAAGATCATATTTTATTGAAATCTTGGAGTTATGTTTAAGGTGGATATTTGAATGAGTAGGCATCAACTAGTGTTATGTAAAGATTATGGTGTACGTGTATAGGAGGAGTCATTAATTCCTGTAGTGATCAGCGCTCTTGATGTGATTTTCAGTGTTGTCCACAGGTCACCAAGCGTTCCAGACATTCCTGGTTCCCGTAAACCTAAGGAAAGATTGCTGATTAGGAGGTCTGTCACTGTATTGTTCTATGCTGTTTTGCTGACTGTTCTCAGGCAAGGCTGATTTATTGGTTAACTGTTTGGGGAGTGGAGCACTTCGGAGTGAAGCAGCAGAAACGGAAACACGGACCTGCCAAGAGTGAGGTCATCCGTTCCTGGGCTTCAGTTTCGGGTCTTTCTTTCCTTCTTTCTTTCTTTCTTTCCTTTTTTTTTTTGTCTTTTTGTGTCAGGGTCTCCCTATGCAGTTCAGGCTGGCCTTAAGCTCACTTTGTAGGCCAGGCTGGTCTCGAACTCACAACGATCCTCCTGCCTCAGCCTCCTGAGTGCTGGGATTACAGGTGGGCACCACCACGCCCAGCTCAGTTTCAGTTCTTACCATACACATTTCACATCACAGTATCATAATGAACCTAGAAATACTACCTTTATTTTTTGTTGAATGTTTAGTCTTTGTTTTAATTTTATTACATCCATGTAAGAAGCAAAACATATATGCCACAATTGGTATAGCTATTTAATCATTAATGGGCATTATTTTATATCTGATTTATAGTGCTGCAGAGAGAATGACTGAGACCTTCTCATGGAATAGAGCTAGTTCAGTGTTTTGCAGTATTTCCTTAAAATGTATTTGACCAAAATTGCAAGGGTAAAGAAATGATGATTTTTAAAGTTCTGTTATATAAGATGAAGAAAACTAATTTCCCCTGTACCTTCCTAGTTCTTAGCAGGCGCACCAATAAATAAGTCAGATTAAGTAGAGAAAAACAGAAGGCTGCTAAACATGTGTATGTTATGTACATGGGGAAGATACCAGGAAAGAACGAGTAACTCAAAGAAGTGGCTTACAAAGAAAGAAAAGGTAGAAGAAAGGCCAGGTACAGTGGCCTGACCAGGAAAAAGTAAACAAAAGCAAAATGTGTTGCGCAGATTTAAGTCCCTGCCTTCTCCACTGTTAAGAGTTTCTCCTGATTTGGTCTCCTTTTCCTTTCTGGCACAGAGAAAGGACCCTTATAAATGGAGATTTGATTTGTAGAGAGGAGTTTTTCTTACAAAAGGGTAACTTTTTTTTTTCAGAGCTTCTTCAGTACCTGCTCATCCTCAAGATAACCAGCTCAAAGTAGTACTTTGCCAGAGAGGTCTGTTGTGGAGTGATTCATTCTGGTATCTTATGGTCATATTGTGGAGTCCTGTTTGCCATATTCTGATCTCCTATACTTGAATACAGGAAAATTATTTCCCAAAAGCATTGTACTAGCAATATATTTTTGTGACAGTTCTTTTTAAGATTAGAAACTGATGCAGTGTTTTCTTTAATGTTGCTTAATATGTGGAAGGAAATATTGTTGCTTTACCTAAATCATAAGAAAATATTAATAAATCAACTAAATGTTTTATAAAATATGTGCTAAAGAAATTGATGCCCTGACAAAGAATAAAAAGGTGAGATAAAATGTAATAGGCATGAACAGGTGGCTAGGAGGACATTTGGGAGTCTCTGTATACAATTTCAGACAATCCACAGCACCCTGAACACGTGTACCACCTCTGATTCAGAGTTTCTGTCGTTCACAGCCGGAGAAGGAGGCAAACATCTAAATGAGACCAGCAGCTACAGTAAACACAACAGTCTGTTCACCGAGTGAACTGTCTCCGAGAAGGTGAAGCTGAGGAAGTGGCTGATGTGTTTGAACTGACTCTGGAGAGAGTTGCATTTCTGTAAGAGTGTTGAAGAATAGGTAAGACAGGCACCTAGAAACCTCTATGAATGAAAGAAAAAGATTCATTCCAGAGAGAATGAAAAAATTGTATTTGAGAAAGTAGATAGCTATAGTATTATACTATGTGAGCTACAACTACATTGTCATAGAAATGTAAAACTTCCTATCTTGCTTCAAATTAATATTACACAATTATAATGGAAGAGGAACAGTTATCGTCATACAAATGGAGCCCACTGTTTCACAAAGTCAAACAGTGAAATTGTGGACAGAAAGGAAGTTAAGGGATAAGTGCTTGTTGGAAATATAAGAATTTTTTAAAAGGTTCCAGGTAGCTAGAAGAGGTCCCTGAAAGTGCAATGCCATGTGATCTTAATCCAGAACTCCTCAGGGATAGGTGGCACTCGGGAATTTGCTCAGTTGTGCAGGGGTCTCCTGTCACAAGTAGCTTCGTGGGTTTGAAGTGATCAACTGGAACTCAGGCTCTCTAGACAAGTTATTCAGCTTCCAGAGTTTAAAAGAAACTGATTTTAAAATAAAAGCAGTTCTGCATGTTTAAGTTCCTAGAAACGCAGCCCAAAATGTAGAGACAGGCTGCGTCTTAGCCCTGAGTGTTGACCAAGAAACCCCTTTCCTGGTTAGGGTCCTAGTTTCACTGCCTATCCTTTAATTTTTACAGTGGGCTGATTGCCCAACTCTATCTCAGGCCCTTTCTGTAGCTAGCTGTCTCTTTGTAAGCTAACTAACTCAGTTCTTTTACAGAAGGATAAGAGGAAGAAGAAATTTGTGTGTGCAAAGTAACGTGCTGGACCTGGACTTCTGTAAAGCACATAGAAAGCTTGCAGCCAGTGTCTACTGAAAGGAGTGTGTGTGCAGGTAGGAGGAGGGGAAGCAGAGGTGTTTCCAGGCCTGTATGAAAACTGCTGGAGGGAAGTGATCGGCTGCAAGGCCAGCCAGTTTTAATCGCATTATGCCCTTTGTGATGGGTCTAGTGGGCCTGCTCCTGCTAACCCTGCTGTTAGGAGCAGCACTAACCCGCCAACAGAAACAACTGTTAGAGAGTTCTAAAAGGAGCTCTGCTGGGTTTTAAATGGGTTCCATGGGTTTAAAATGTTCCATGGTTTTTCATGGGTCAACAGTTCCTTTTGTGTCATGACCGTGAATTTCTTCATTGTGATGCAGGCATCCGCAGGTCTTGATGTGACTGACCGCAGAATAACTGTTAATCATGCCAGGTGATTTCCCTCTAGGAGGAAAAAGTAATAAATGTATGGTGAGTACTGAGAGGACTCGGTCTGCAATAAAGAAATTGGCAAAGTTGTCCTGCAATCCAGTTTTCCCTCCCTTCGGTCTCTGTTCATGGCACTCCCTTAGGTTCAGGCCTTACCACGCACCACTCCCCCAAATCTTTGTTCCAAACCAGAGGAACTGCTGCTGTTCTCGAGCACTGAGCTGCCCAGCCGGACACTGACCCCATGTCCTGTGCCCTCTCTTAGTCCTTGCTCACTAGTGAGGAAGTCAGGGCGGCTGTCTGCGACCGGTGACCCGTTCAGCAAGCTGCGCTGATGACTCAGCCGGAAGCCAAGAACTAATTGAGTATTTACTGACCTCTGACCATAAGACAGCTTTGTTTTTCTGTCTTTCCGTTTTAGTCCCTTTTGGTTAGCAGTTTTTGAAGCTTAAGAATTTACAAAAAGTTAGCAGAATTAACAGGATTAAATTGCAGAACTTCTGCAAGTCAAAGAAGAAGCCAAATTAAAAGAGCAAACAAGACTGAAAGAATATCTAAGGCACGTATGACAATGTTAACATCTTTGTTTTGGAAAAAATGCATCCAAATTCATTCTAAAATAATTACTAAGATACTGTGAAGATGTGTAATATTGGCAAGGAAAGGAGAAAATGTTAATAGATAAATAGATAATTTACAAAAGATGAACTATAAACACACATGTGGCAAAATAATTAACCATTCTAC